TTTTTTTTTTTTTTTTTTTGAGAGAAAGACAGAATCTTAGGCTCCACACTCAGTGGGGAGCCCACTGCAGGGCTTGATCCCATGACTGAAATCATGACCTGAGCCAAAATCAAGAATTGGATGTTTAACTGACTGAGGCACCTGGGCACCCCACATGTACTGATTTTTAAACTTAGCATTTTATAAGCACTTTTCAGTGTTATTTGTTGTAATAAATGTGTTAATGGTCACATATTCACTAGAGTATATGTTAGCCTTGGATGGCTTAGCTGTTTTCCTACAGGACAAGTCTGGTTTTATCTGACCTTTAAAAATGATTTCTCTTTCTCACCTCGTTCCACTTCCCAGATATCTAAGAGAGGCAGATGGTTGCTGGCATTAGGGAATTCTCTGCTGTTTTACTTTTTTAAAATTTTTACTCTCTGTAAAAATTCTCTGCTGTTTTACTCTCTGCTGTCTTACTCTGCTCTGCTGTTTTACTTTTTTTTTTATTAAAAAAATTTTTTTTCTTAACGTTTATTTATTATTGAGAGATAGAGAGAGATAGAGCACTGGGAGGGGCAGAGAGAGGAGGAGACGCAGAATCCGAAGCAGGCTCCAGGCTCCGAGCTGTCGGCAGAGAGCCCGATGCGAGGCTCAAACTCACAAACCGCCAGATCATGACCTGAGCCGAAGTCGGATGCTCAACCGACTGAGCCACCCAGGTGCCCTGCTGTTTTACTTTTTAAGTGTGTTGCATAAAGACATCTTAAGACAGTGCCCTTTCCATCATTCTTTTTTTTACTACATGTTTAGAAAAGAGAATGCTGAAAGTTTCTATATAATGATTGATACCTGTTTGCATCTAGTCTTGCCTCATTATCTTTTTTTCACCTAATCATCTAGGGAAATGATTGTGTAATATTTATATCCATTGAGCTTGACTTAACCTGTCGGTAATTGAGTTAATCTAAATATTCCATTTATGTAGCCATTTATTATCATTTAATGTAGTTAATTACAACTTGACTGAGAGTGGTGAGTGTTAGGGCGTCTAGGTGGCTCAGTTGGTTGAGCATCTGACTTCAGTTCGGGTCATGGTCTCACAGTTCCTGAATCGAGCCCCATGTCAGGCTCTGCACTGTTAGCTTCGGAGCCTCTGTCTCCCTCCCTGTCTCTGCCCCTCCTTTGCTCGTGAGTTCACACGTGCGCTCTTTCTCTCTCTCTGTCTCAAAAATAAGAGTGGTGAATATTTTTAAGGCAGTTTTAAAATTCTTTTTATTATTTGAATCCTGGAAAACATGAGTTTGCTATATAGTTTGGTCATCTAAATAGAATAAACAATGATTGGTTATTATGACTACAGCTCACTATTGACCCTGGGAAGTACAAATTGCTTTTGAGTGAAAATGTGGTTGGAATAGATTTCAGTGTTCAGTTTGTACCTGCTATTTATTGTGACACCGAGTTCAGTGAGGGCTGGCATCTATGGGAGGCCAGTAACTTCC